CCTGTGGTGCCCCTGGCAGGTCTGTGGTGCCCCTGACAGGCTTGTGGTGCCCCTGGAAGGACTGTGGTGTTCCTGGGCCCTGGCAAGCCTGAGGTGCCCCTGACAGGCTCGTGGTGCCCCTGACAGGCCTGTGGTGCCCCTGCTAGACCGCTGGTACCCCTGGGTCCTGACAGGACTGTGGTGCCCCTGACAAGCCTGAAGTGCCCCCCGACAGGCCCGTGGTGACCCTGACAGGCCTATGGTGTCCTTACTCCTTGCTAGGCCTGTGCTGCCCCTGGGCCCTGGCAGGCCTGTGGACCCCATACGTGCCTGTGGCGCCCCTACTAGGCCGCAGGTGCTTCTGACAGGTTTGTGGTGCCCCTGGAAGGACTGTGGTGCCCCTGACAAGCCTGAAGTGCTAACGACAGGCAAAGGGCAAAGTTCGTCGGGCAAAGTCGCCAGGGCAAGGTTCGTCGGACTGACAGCGATTTGCTTACCTGATAAGTGATAACGTTCCTGGTGAGTACCTACTCAGTGACCACAACATATATGTATACCTGTTACCTACACATATCATATTTATAACATAGCATTTTCATATATACTAAGAAGGTACATATGAATATTATGCTAGTATATTAACCATCGCATGTGTAGGGGGGGGGGGTCGGATGGACCCCCCCCCCCCATGGTTTTTCGCGAATAACTCGCGTAAAAGGAGGCCGATCGCGACGAAACTTTTAGTACCCTCCCATTGATCAATTTTACACCTACCCTGAAAATTTCATGACCTTGACCCAAATGACCTTTGACCTGTGACCTCTTTTCCGAGACCATGTTTGGCCGGAATCGCGATTTCGCGTATGTCGGCTCGCATTAGCCGCGCGTTTGCAAGCTTTTCGTGGTTTCAAACGTTCAAACATGTGATTTGATGTTACTCCCGTGGGTGTCAAGGTCACCTGAAGGTCATGTCAGGTCATTGACCTTTCGTGACCTCGGGTGACCTCGGTTCACTTTTTCGAGTTTTACATGTTTCTAGGCTAGTTTTTGGAGCTGAACTCGAATTTAGCAACCATTTGAACATTTACGAAGTAGTTTTGGTGACTTCGTAACATGTTACGAAGCTGTCAGAGGAGGTTGACACGTACTACGAATACCCGTCACGACGCCTACTGGTTGCCCTGACCTGACCTGACCCGACCTGGTCTAAATGCTTAAAGACATCATCTGTGATCAAAACTAACACGATATTCGTGATCAGCACCCCGAAAAACCCCTTAGCAGCCACACTTTACGACTTTCTAACAGGTCCCGATTTTCCCGACTTTGGGTCATTGACCTGACCTGGAAGGTCAACCAATGACCTAGGACCTTAAAATTGGGTATCATCGGCTTCCTCTCCTCACGGGCAACACGCTCGTTTTTTCCGCGAAGCTCTAGCTCGATCAGGGGCCAAACGGCAAGGGGGCGGGGGTCCAACCGACCCCCCTACACATTAGAAGCTGGCAAACGCCGCACACATGCGAGGGTTAATTATTATACCTACCTACTTGGGTACAATTGGCATCTTTGATTGTGGCCAAGACACTGACAAAAAATAAAAAATATAAAAAACAAATAAGAAAAGAAAATGGGACACCACCAAAATTAAGTGGCCGAAATCCGTTGAGTTTTTTTATTTTAGATAGGTAGGGGGGGGGGGGTAGGGGCACCACTTCGATTCATGACCCTCCCCTTGAAGTTTTCCTGGATCCACCCCTGAGGCTCGCATGGAATAAGGTTTGTAACAGCTGCGTTTCGTAGTGGAAAAGGTTCGTATCGTATCGGACCAGACAGACGCCTTATGCGGCGATAAACTACTACGAGCGAGAAAGAGTGAGGCCACTGAGGCCTTTACGAAATTCCAGAGAACTTGTGCACAACGCCCTACTTACCGGTGGGTACGTGCAGTATACTGCAGGTGGGCACTGCCACAATCATGTATCAAAGGTCGGTCCTTCGGTCAGTCAGTATTAATACGGGCCGGGCAGCATGCATACGGGCCGAGTTTTCAAACGGCCCTAACATATACCTACATACATAGATAGTAGATGCAGGTACGCCAAGTTTCAGCACGCTCGGCCCCATTTCAGCACGCTTGCCAAGTTATTGTTATTGTTACAAGTTCACAAGAACAATTCGTTTTTGTTTTGCACGTGATGTGGCATGTGCCATGTGCACACTGCACAGCAGCACATGGGGGGGGGGGGGGTCACTGCATCGGAAATAGTCCAATTACTTGGCAGTTGATGAAGCTACCCCCACAAAAAAGATCGCATGTAAATCGGTTCACTCACGTCTTATATGTTTGAACGACTGCAGGACCGACACCATTCCGCACAAAGCTGCAGAACGTCGTTGGTGACCGGTTAGAGACACGTACTTACTAACATACATTTAGAATTGGTGTTTCAGGGTCTTATGGCGGCAAGCAAATCACCCAGAGGTCGTCTCCCATTATCCTGCCTTATGTTAAATGCATATGGACGGGCACGGGCAAAGTGTACCTAACAACGTAAAAAGAAACTAAGGTCAGGTGACTTGTAAGGTCACGTATTACGTGATACACTGTTCCCTTACGAGCAGTTTACGAGCCTTACGAACCTTGACGTCCTACTTGTACACGATTTTTTAAATTTTATTTTACATTTTGCACATATCGAACCTTTTTTACGATACGAACCGTCTCTGTTTTCGAGGCCATCAAACACTGTAAGAATTTTGGAAATCAGACCAGATATTTTGGAGATAGATTCTTCAGATCTCCTTCCTCTTCGTTCACTCGTGTTACGGAATACATTTCAACAGCACTCGCCTTAGTAGAATTTACCCAGCTACGCGCGGGTTAAACAGCGATGTTAGAGACTACAGAGCAACAAACTAGAACGGCGCATCCTCCGGCCAGTAGTGGCCGATTGTGTGTCGGCTTCATATGGTCGCTGTATGTTACGAGATTGCGTGTCGCGCACATGGTCCTGTTTCGAGACCGTGCGGCGGTGTTGCGCTAAGCCGGCGACCGCGAGTTGAGATGGACGATCAGGGCGCGTGCGCCGGTGAAAGGCCCCCATTGACAGTGCCGTGTTAAACGTCTCAACGCAGCCGACACCACCACCTCTTCACTATATAGCCGCCGAGCGGGTGTCGAACAGCACTAGTCTCCCGTGTCCTCGGTGGAGCCACAGGCGCCGGTCCCAGTAAGACCATCCGCACGTCGTCACTGTCGTCACCTTGTCTCCGGAGCATCGGTAGGTGTATGTATGTGCGTCAAGCGGTCAGTGCATTGATGTATGTATTGATTAGGGATACGTAATGTAGGAATACATGCATCACAAACTTTATGTGGCGAATTAATTATCTATGTAAGGTAACCGAATGTTGACATGCATAGCTGCAGAAGCAGTGCATAATAGGGTAGGGTGGGGCAAAGCGCCCGCCGCCCACCCTAACTTTCCAGCCCCAGTATCTCTTTATCTTACAAGTTTGAAAGACAACTAGGTAGCTGATCTGGTAGCTCATTACCTTGGCTTTCTTCGAATAACACATCAGAAACAAGTGGCATGCATGGTTTTTGAGATATGCCATCCGAATTGAGAGGACTACAAATCGGGCGTTTTGCCCCACCCATGGGGCATAACGCTCATATGAGTGGGGCATAACGCCCAGTCCTGAACGTTTCATTACACGCTCGGTACTCTGACAAAAGAATGCAGTATTTATCCATTCTCATTTCGTTTGACTTTAAATCGATAGATTACACCACTAAACACATCTTGAACACTGTTGTTACCACCCCACTCCTCATTCTGTCAACGGGCTGTCACCGCCTTGGAGAGCGGAGATTAGTTCGTGCGAATAAATTGTTCCAGGCGATACTAACCAGTATATTGCATATTTCATAAGAATCCTGAGCATAAGAAACGTATCCCAACACTCACTTTCAGCCAAAAATGTTCGCAAATACCCGTACTGTATAACTCCCATTAGGGGTAAAACGCCCATGATGGACGTTTTGCCCCACACCAAAGTGGGCGTATTACCCCAACAGCACATTCAAAACGAAGTCCACCAAAATTAAGCGTGTGACGATTGTGTTGCAAACCAGTAAATGCTCAAAACATAGCTTAAATCCGCAGGTTCTGCGTAGCTAAATTTCATTGCCTACTTTAATCTCTATCAGACAAAGTTTTAGTAGTATGAAAACATGTAATTTCTAAAAATTGTCTGAAATAAACTAATCTTTATCTTACGTCCAGAACAACCCACTTGTAGGACCGAAAAAGGGAGCAAAAGTAGATTCCCGCTCGTTCTTGAAAAGGGCTATCGAGAATTCTTCGAAAAGTCGAGCACTTCATAAAAAAGAGGGGTGGGCGTTTGACCCGCCCTGGGCGCTTTGCCCCACTCTACCCTACACATAGATATATAAAATAACTTCAGTAAATAAGACGATGCAAAAAACATAAAGCGGTTTGGTCACATGAACCTCCTTCAGCGCTTTCAGGACTAAGCAAACAATCGGCTCTTATATATAAAAACGTGTATCACTTACGCTCTTACTGCATTAGTAAACAAGTCGCCGTCGATTACTTATAACTGAGCTTGTTTGCCGTCCTTTTTACTTTAATAATTTCATCAGATAGACCAGGTAGGAGTACAGGAATTTATTGCTTTCATGCGCATTAGGGTTATCGCATAGGATTTTTTACGTACCTATAGGTTTTCGTTTTTACTTTGCTTCGATGTCATATATGTTTAAAGCCTAAAGGGACATGCAGTAAACAAGCAATGTTGAGGTTTTTGAGCCAAATTTGTTCACCACTCAATGCGGACTGAACGATAAGCCTTCTTTTAAATTCACTTCTCGTCCATCGTTATCTACCATCGGTCGTTCGGTAGTATTGGGCTACTGTCACGCTGCCAGCCCGGTCTGTCACCTGCAGTCCCTCGTTCACCTCTCTTCACCTCACCTTATCTGACAGCTCACCCGCTCACCCACCCCCGCTCGCAGTGATGGCCTACCACACCGCGCTTCTGCTGCTGCTGCTGGTGGCAGCGGTCACCCTCGCCCAGGAGCCCAGCTACAGAAGTGGCTACTTCCAGTACGCCAACGTCAAGGGACCCACCGAGTACGCCTACGGGTACCGCCGCGGCAGCCCGCACCACCACCAGACGCACCACCAGAGGAATAAGGACCACACGTTCCAGGCCAAGGTGAGGACGAGAGCTGACTAGTTCAGGTCCCCGAGCTGGCGCTGTCGTAAGGTATATCCTGCCCACTTGCCCAGTAATGCTTCGGTAATTGATACCTAACTGTCCAATCATAGCTGAACACTCAACAGACTTGACGTGGACGTACCAAGTTAAAAATTAGAAACTTGCATCTGTATATTCATTACTCAATTCCATGTCCGTAAGTTCCCGCTACTTTTTTGAATTTAGCTCATGTTTAAATTGTCATATGCCAATGAATATATTAGTTACTTGCGTGAGTGACGTGTATTGTATGACGGTTTAGAACGTCGATTAAATAAAGCATTGTGTTTTCCATGAAGCCATATGAAGCCAAAGCCATATCAGCTCTGGCTGCGGTTTTTCAGACATAAACCTAAGCGAATCGGCTTTTCCTAACTGCAGTGCTTTTATTCACAGGTAACCTGGGGCGACTACAGCGGAGGTCAGGGAGAGCACTACTTTGAATACAACCACGGTCCCGAGAAAACCGCCCACGAAAAGTCGCGGGAGCAGGCGCCTCGCGCCTACGACCCTCGGCCCTACACGTCCGAGCACCTGTCATACTAGGCCTGCGGACCTGCAAATTGTCCGTATTCATCGATGCTTGACACTGCCAGACCGTCTTTCGTGTGTATTTTAAGTTTTCGTGCTTGTTAAGCCAGAATGTCATCACGAGGCTACATGGCACATGCAACAGCGCCACGTTGTCATGGACTCCCCATTACGTAACGGAATGTCAGGGATTGCCAGCAAATGCTATTTCGATTTAATAAGAAATGCATACAGGCTTTAGCTATTCGTTGCCGATTCAAAATTTTACTGTTTCTGATAGAGGGTCTGAAAAGTGATCATTTTGACCTCAGTTTGAATATGTTATTGCTGCGCTGTTTTTTTTTCAAATTGTTACGTTTTATCTGATAAGTGTGAGTGTTATTGTTGCGATCCATGCTAAGGTGGTAATCAAAATAACATAAGGAAATATTGTCATCGTATTCGTGACTGTAACTAATAATGCCTATGAGTTAATACATATGCCCTTAATACAAAGGACGGTAAACACTTTTTAGATGCGGGTCAGGTAAAACATGCAAAAAGTTCACGGATCATCGAGATGGACGGATCATATGTTTTGAACGATCGCAATTCATACCAATCCAATGGTATGCGAGACGGACAGATGAATCAAACATAACTAGACGGTACTTATCAACGAATCAAACGACCCACGAAGCCATTATCGGACAATTAATCACTATCGGACCGTTACCAACGCTCTTTAGGGGCGGAAGCATGTAACATGTAACCAGGTGTTCGATGGCCGACCTTGCATTCAGATAGAGGTGGTCTCTGCGGTACTTGTCTAGCCGTCAGGGGCGGTAGATCGTCCGCACTTAAACGCCCCAGCGATAAGGACATGCTGCACACTGCACAGTGCACACCATAGGGGGAAGGGGTGTGGGCGAGGGCAGGCTGCGGTTTACGCGAATTGTCGATGCACGCTGAGGACAGAATCGATGACGAAGCCGCTTCGCTCACGTCCGTCATCCGGGTCTGGAGGCGCCACTGCCGATAAGATGAGCTGGCATTACGCCATGCCGTGGTGACCTTCGCAGATACAGAGTGGTTACGGCCGGGCGGCGGCGGTCAGCGATCAGACGCTCACTCGCTTGCGCCGGTCACTCTTTGTGGACTACTCACTTCATCTATGGAGATTCTCTGCACAGTGGCGGCATGGTGTCTGGCAGGTAATTGTCATCTGGTCGCCACCCGATTGTTATTTGATCATCTGGTCCGTGGGCTTGGTATGACCGTGGGCTTGGTATGACCGTGGGCTTGGTATAACCGTGGGCTTGGTATGAGTTGACCGCGGGGTTGGTATGACCGTGGGGTTGGTATGACCCCTGTTCCAATCTAGTGTTCCATCTTGACATCTGCTCATATTAGTTAAACTAAGTCTTAAACTAGTTAAACTAGATTAAAATTAAAATTAAATTAAATTAATTAAATCAATTAAATTAACTATTAAAATACATTAAAATTAGTTAAACTAAGTCATATTAGCTGAAATGACCATTGTTAATTAGGTAGAACGTCACAGGCGCTTGCATTTCCGGTAAAGCAGACTTGAGCTTTTTTGTCCATTCGTGCACCGCTCATCATTATCATCGTGTGGTTAAGCTGTGCTCACTGCACAGTGCACCACATTATTGTACTGCACGCGTCTCGGGCTCGTCAATATCGTTAATTCGCTCCCTTCTCTGTTTCAGTGGTGCTCGGCATTGTGCTCGTACTCGCGGTCGACCTATACACCAGACCTAAGTCACGTTTTCATACCACTTCGAGTCTCCTCTACGCGTATATATTGGGCCTCATCACAGTGCCTATTGTAAATATTAATATAAGACGGCTCAGAAAACAGTTTGACAACTTTATTCAGGTAAGATTTAAGTCGGATATCAAAATTATATCCAGATTGTCATGTCCAATCGAGTGTCTGATAATTTGACAATGCAGGCATATAAGTAATTAGTTGAACCCTAAAAGTGCCTACTCAACGTCGAGAAATGCGTATAGGGACTCTGCAGAGTGTAAAGTTCATTGGAACTCTCGAGCAAGGTAACTAAGTACATACCTATATTTAGAATGTTGATGTCGATCAGCAAGTCATGATTAATCATGGCAAGGAAGTAGCGACCCGTGAAGTGGAATAGCTTGTGGAAGACGTTGTTACACAGCGGAGTGGGTCCACGAATTCTACCATCTTGGCTTGTGGCGTACCCAGCTGTGTTCCCCACCGTTCCAGACCCAGGAGCAGTTCCTGCTGCGTCAGATCCGTGACAATGAGAACACCCAGTACGGACGGGACCACCAGTTCGGGCGGATCCACAGCCTGGCGGACTTCCGCCGCCTGCACCCGGTCACCACCTACAGCGACTACACCGAGTACCTGGAGCGCGCCGAGAACGGAGACGTCGGCGCCATCCTCGGCAAGAGCAAGCTGCTGCTGATGGCCTGCTCGTCGGGCACCACCGGCAAGTCCAAGCACATCCCCATCTCGAGCGGCTTCTCGGCGGTGATGCTGCAGATGCACGCCGCGCTGTGCGTGTTCCAGCCGCTGCCGCAGACGGTGCGCGTCCCGCTCTACAAGGAGATGGCGCTGCTGTGCAAGCCGCGCTGGCGGTATACGCCCAGCGGACTGCCCATCGGGCCGCTCTCCGGCATCTACTCCAAGAAGCCGCACATGCTGGCGCAGTACGCCACGCCGTTCGGGGCGCATGTGGTCGACACCGAGACGGAGGCCATCTACACGTCGCTGCTGTTCGGACTGCGCGACCCCGACCTGTGCCGAGTCGACTTCGGGTTCGCCTCCACCTTCTACAACGTGATGCAGTTCTTGGAGAGCCACTGGCGCGACCTGGTTGAGGACATCCGATCGGGTCGGCTGAAGGAAAACCTGAACGTGACGGAGGAGCAGCGGCGCGCCATCAACAAACACCTGGTGCCGGACCCGCAGCGGGCCCACCAACTGGAGGTCGAGTTCAAAAAGGGTGAGAGCATCGACCGCAGACAGATAGCTGCTAGCCACAACGCAATTCACTGGTTACAGACAAGCAAGAGCTTACATTGAATTAAGGAGGTTTTTTTACTAAAAAAAGGATGAAAAAATGAACTTTTTTTAACGTAAAGTAATTAAATAATACAATTTCAAGCGTTATCTAGTCAAACCTTCTGATTTTCAAGTGCCTTTTACCGTCGCGATGCTATCTCGTCCTCAATTATCAGACGCATCCATTTGCCACAGTTGCGACTTGCGAGCTATCAGCATTTGACACCGGATATCAAGCATAGAATAATAAAACAACAAAATGTTCACTATTTATCTGACTTCTTACTGAAATGTTGCGTTACTTTGACGAAGCTGCTATACTTTTTTGCCGTCAATGCAATTATTTGCGTATCACGTAACTGTTTTTCCAGGGTTTACAGCGATCATCCCTCGGATATTCCCAAAGGTGAACAGTGTATCGATGCTCCACTCCGGAACATCAATGTCACTCTACAAGAGCAAGTGCCTCCCATACCTGGGGCACCTGAAGCCAATCTCATGTACGTAAACGCTATGTGTAGATTTCGTTAGAGTGGATATTTGTAAATAATTTTCCGAAAGTCTTTGATTTTGTTACGGAAAATCATGTGGTTTATTGTAATCATCTCGGCAACCTTATTTGTTTTACGCCTTCGAATAGTTCCGTAATTTCTCTTCAGCCACTATCGATGGCATACCTAATCATATGGGCCGATGTAACGAATAAAGACGAAGAACATAGGTGGCGCACACATGTCCGTATACAAAGAAGCACCCGCATGCCTAATGTGAACGTTGTCGACTGCGGTCAGTCGTGTACGGCTCGTCGGAGGCGTTTTTCGCCGTCAACACACGTCCGGCCGGCGCCGATCCCGCCTACGTGGTGGTGCCCACTATGGCTCTGGTGGAGTTCCTGCCCGTGGATGACGCCGGGTCGCCGCTGGACGGCGCGGAGCCGCTGCTCGCCGATCAGCTCAAGGTGATCTGGGAGGATTGATCAGTGGGTTCTGCTGCCAAAGCTGAGAATTGTTCAATGCACCCGGCTGTTCGGCTGTTCAGTTACTGGACCTAGTACAATGGACGAGGGCTTATGAGGAATGGTGAGAAGTGCTATCATATCCTTATCCTTGTCCAATATCCATATCATATCTTTGTCCTCTGCTGATCTCGACTACCGGTTGGTGACTCTTTCAAATGCTGATATCACGAGAGTATGATTGCAGTGACGGTGCACAAACAACTCTCTGTGCCGCTCTTGACCTTGGGATGACGTGTACAACACAAATGCGGGCCGTCATCCAACCAAGGTCCATGGTTTTAGGGGAAGACCAGGTACGAATGTAAGCCAAAGACGCTGCTGAGATAAGAATTAAACGTACACATGCAGCCGTACGCTCGTGTTTCAGGTGGGCAGCGTGTATGAGCCCGTCATCACCAACAACGCGGGCTTCTACCGCTACCGTCAGGGAGACGTGGTCAAGGTGGTCGACTTCTACCACCAGGCACCCTGCGTCGACTTCCAGTTTAGGTCTGTATGCGGTATCGCGTGAATAAAAGACAATCAAAGACAAACCTGGCTCAAAGGATGAATAAGAAATACAGGTAAAGCCAGATTGAAATATGTAATGAGAAAAGCAAAACGGAGCAAATGCGTAACGCTACTCGCCGCCGAACCGTTCGTTTCTATCACAGCCTAAGCTTGCTATAGAAACATCCACATTTCTCTGGTCACCTCTGTTTCACAGGGCGGGCCAGATGCTAAACGTGCACATGGAGAAGCTGTCGGAGGAGGCGTTCATGACGGCCCTGCAGACGGCCGCCGGACGCTGGAGCGGCGTCTCCGTGCGAGAGGTCACCAGCGCCGAGAGCGTGCTGGACCCGAACCCGCAGCCGGGCGCGCCATACTACCTGGTCTTTCTGGAGCTGGAGAAGGGCCAGCTCTCAGCGCAGCAGGCCGAAACGGTAACACGGCACTGAATATGCAGTAATCTTGCATTCCAAACAACGTACCCTCAGACCCGAAGAAGTTAAATGCGTCAACAATCGTCTATAATACCCGAAAAATAAAAACGTAACAGTGAAGCCAGTTCTTTCGAAACTGAACCGCACATTTAAATAAACGATCTCAAATGCATGCGCTCCTGCTGCTGCTGTATCTAGTCCCGTTTACAAGTTATAAGGTTTGTCGTCGCGACATTAGCTCAGATGTTTGCTAGCCCGAGTTGGCTGACCCTATATTTGTGACTCAGAAGGCACATCGCCCGGCATGCGGAGCCGCAGTTAAAGTGTTTACGAACGGTGAAATATTTATTCTTCAGATCGATGAGGTCCTGCGTGAACAGCACTATGTCTACAAGTCCTTCCGCGACAAGGGGTCCATTGCACCTATGAAGGTATGCTACATGCGTCAAAACTTCATACTAACCGCTAATGAGGCTGCTGAAATTATAATACGCGTCACTGTTTGTATGTTCGTGGAAGGGTTCATCATTAAAAATGTCTCTGCAGATGCTGCGATTTCATGGGATTGAGTGTAAAACCAATTCCATGAAAAGACTTTTACCTGTGCAAATTATTTACGGGATAATGCTACATACATCGGAGAATGCCGATTGCCGAGCAGAAGTACGTTATAACATACATGTATGCAAAGTGCAAACATACAATTATACAAGCAGGCAAGCCGTCAGTATTCAGACAGAAATATATATGATGTACAGATATAGAGATAGACAGACAGACGGACGGACAGGCAGACAGACAGACAGACATAATCAGACAGCACAAACGGACAGGCGGAAGGGTCACAAGTAGAGTGTACTGATAGACGGAGTCTCTCTCTCTCTCTCTCTCTCTCTCTCTCTCTCTCTCTCTCTCTCTCGCTCTCTCTCTCTCTCTCTCTCTCTCTCTCTCTCTCTCTCTCTCTCTCTCTCCCTCTCTCACGCAATTCACACACCCGTGCGTCTTCAGGTGCAGCTGGTGGAGCCGGGAACGTTCCAGAAGTTCCGCCAGTTCCAGTTCGACACGACGTCGGCGTTCGTGACGCAGTTCAAACAGCCGCGCGTGCTCCGCACCCAGCGCCAGCTGGAGTTCTTCCTCCAGCACGTCACACCCTTCCAGTGACCGATCGCCGACAGATGCTAATGCTATCGAAGCTGCGGTACGCGCTGCTTTATTGTATATAGTAATACCTACACCTACATATCAACCGTGCGTCGCCGACTTGGGATTTAGAAAGGACTGAGTTAAGATGAACATTATAGGTGACTTATAGGGCGATGATTTTCTTCGGATACCTAGTGCGGTGAAATGAAAATGAGAGAGGTCCTCTCCTCCTTGTGTGATGTGTTTATTTAATAAGTTGTACCATATGTCTGTTTGTGCCTGTTTGTCTGTCTGTTTATAATAATTTTATGATATCTGTGTCGGTTTATTACAAGTTCAATGCAAAAGCGTTAAATACATCGTTAAAAAATGCAAGTGCGACGGTTTCAAAACTCTGGAAATTACCGGCCCACAAAGCATATATGCTTTGTGGATGATATATCATCAGCTAAGTTCCGACTAGAGCCATGGTTCAGACATTGTTTCAGGAGCCCGTACCGACCCAGCTACTCAGCGCAGTTTGCAACACCATCCGTCATCTCCCAGTTTGTTATCGTTGAACAGCCATAAACAACGTTCTCCACCCTGCCACTCAGAAACAACATCTTGATTATCCCAAATATCAGTTATTTTGCAAGTAGGCATGCATCAGTCCCAACCCCTAAACAGAAAAAAATTATAGCCACCCTTTAAAAAGTCAAGAAAACATACACACAATAGTAATACCGTAAGTTTCTTGTGATCATTCAATCATTCAGCTTCAATATAAAAGAAAAATAGCACAGGAGTACCTACCTTTCCGTCCTCCGGGGGCCTTGAAGTCCAAGAAGCTGCATGAAATCGTTCGTAAACAGGTAAGAGGGATTATCGAGGGGAGTCTGGTCCTTTTCGTTTTCGTTGAGGTAAATATGTCATCAGTGGTCAAATAATTTGCGAGTTGTGAGTAATTTGCGAGCCGATGACGAACAATAGGTGTAATCCAACAAATGAAGTCTTAACCCTCGCCCGCACATGGGGGGGGGGGGTGGTTGCCACCCCCCCAGGTAGTCTTTCTGCTCTGCACTCAACATTTTTAGAGCTAGAAGGCTGATTTTTCGTATAGCTGCTCCTCTATCCTTTCTTGATGTTCACTGAAAATTTCAAGTTTCTGTGATTTTTGGTTTCGGAGATATGACCTTGTTTTTCAGGTCATGTCATGACCCAAATGGCCAATTCTCAACATCTTGCGCTTGCCATGGGCCTTGTGAGCTTTTGACACCCTGATTTCGGCCGTTTTTGCCAGTCTTACCTCCCACCTATCATGGAACATGTTGTTCGACGATGTACAGGGGTCAAGGTCAGGGTCAAGGTCAACCTAGGTCACCTAAGATAATTGCGTTTTAGGCAAGCTGAATTTACTTTTTGTGAAGTTTTTTGACTGCATTTTTGGTAAAAGCTTCTCAGATCATGATTTCATGTAATATGGATCCAAAAACAATCGGTGCACACATCAGTATACACACAGACACACACAGACATACAAACACATATAATTGACCTTGACCTAACTTGACCTGAAATGACCTCAGCAGCAAAATTCTGGTCGGGTAGTGTGATAAAGAGGTTCTAGCTGGCTTGGCACCAGAAAACAGCATCGTCATCGGTATTTGATAAGCAGCGCACTTGATATCCAACGGTGACCCAAAACAGCAACATTTTTTAGTTTGACCTGACCTGGAAGGTCAATGACTGACCTGAGAAGGTAAAACTGGGTATCATTGGATTCGTCTCTTCCCAAAGAATCTTTTTGGTCTTTACTGCTAAGCTCTATCTCCAACAGGAACGAAATGGCGCGGGGGGGGGGTGGCAACCACCCCCCCATGTGCGTTCTAGGATGGGAAAATGGCATGTGCGGGCGAGGGTTAACTCGTGAGCTATGCCTACCAGTATAACACCTTTTGGGGCGAGTAACGGAGCGAGCGAGAGGGTGGGCCTTGCACGTGCGAAATTTCGAGGGGGTACCTTCAACTGACTTGTGCACGGCACCCTACTAACCGGTCTCTAGCGAGGTGCCAAATTTGAGCACAATCGGCCCAGCCGTTCTCGAGATCTGGAAGCGGCACCCTGCACGTGCGCACGTGCAAAATGGGCCCCAACTGACTTGTGCACGGCACTCTACTAACCGGTCCCTAACTATGTATGTACCAAATTTGAGCGCAATCGGTCGAGCCATTCTCGAGATCTGGAAACGACCCCTGCACGTGCGCACGTGCAGCAGCACCCCAACTCTGGCACATGGATATGCAGTGCCTAGTGGGTGCCTACCTATATGGCAACTTTCAGCGCAATCGGCCAAGTAGTTACCGAGATATTGCAACAATTACAAAACTGACACCTCTTCGTTTTGCACGTGGCACTTGCATAAGGGGTCACCCACATGCATCGGGAATAGTCCAATACTTGGTAGAAGGAATGAAGCTACCCTACAAAAAATACCGCGTGTAAATCGGTCAAGTGGTTGCTGAGATATAAGCCTCGCAAAAGCGTCCGCACGGCCGGCCGGCCGCTCATACTCAGAAATATCCGTTAAAGGGACCCTCCCACCTTCAAAAAAGTTTATGAATTGGCATGAAAGTGATGTCGCTTGGTTCAGAAAGAGCGAAAACGAATATCTACCAAATTTCACCGAAAAATATTCACCGGTTTTCAAGATATTAGACTTTTACTTTTGTTTACTTTTTGGGATCTCCGCTGTTCCTAGCGACTTTATTTGGAAGCAATAGTTTGGCAGCTGAAAGTGCGGCACTTGTTGCGCGCAAAGCAGCATATACCACCGCGTGCTACAAAACGCTTTAGTCAAACATTTGAAAATCGTTAGATATCTGCGCTGACGTCACACATTCAGAGGGGTATTCCTATGCATTAGCCCCTCTGAATCAAAATGCTGCAATTTTGAAATTCAATATTTCCGATTTAAGGCATTTCTCGATGTTGTGAGTGCCGAAACCGGTAATTGTGAGCCAGGGACCCCATTTTGGCTATCTCAACTCAAATCTAATGTTAAGGTGGGAGGGTCCCTTTAATCGGAAAGACTCCGCTCGCTTCGCTCGCTCCGTAACAACTAGGGTGGCGCAGCGACAACATTAAATCTGCTGTGTGACCCTTTATACTTGCTAACTATAGCGGTAAAGGGAAACGACTTACTCTCTATCCTGTTTCAAACATATGGATATGCTCCTGTAGAAAATGCTTAGGCCAGATCAATCAAGGCATTGCATAAAGAAAAAGCTAAAGTAAAGTAGCTTATGTATATTTTTCGTTTCACCAACAAAGCTGGGTCAAATATATTTGACACCATACGATAGATGTGTAATATTCACGTGAGAAACAAAGCTTCATGACTTCACGCAGTCACAGATAGCTCAAGTTTTTCTTCAGTTGCTGAGTTAGTACTCATCCTCAATTTCTTCATCAATATCACCGTCTTGCGCTACCTCCTCGTAATCCTTCTCCAGCGCCGCGATGTCTTCGCGCGCCTCCGAGAACTCGCCCTCCTCCATGCCCTCGCCGACGTACCAGTGCACGAAGGCACGCTTGGCGAACATGAGGTCGAACTTGTGGTCCAGGCGCGCCCAGGCGTCCTTGATGGCTGTGGTGTTGGAGAGCATGCACACAGCGCGCTGTAGCTTGGCCAGGTCGCCGCCGGGCACCACGGTCGGCGGCTGGTAGTTGATGCCCACCTTGAAGCCGGTCGGACACCAGTCGACAAATTGGATCGTCTTCTTGTTCTTGATGACGGAGATGGCGGCGTTGACATCTTTGGGCACGACATCGCCGCGGTACAGCAGGCAACAGGACATGTACTTGCCGTCGCGCGGATCGCACTTCACCATCTGGTTATCCGGCTCGAAGCAGGACCTCGTGATTTCCTCTACGGTGAACTTCTCGTGCTGCGCCTTCTCCGCCGATACGACCGGTGCGTAGGTGACCAGCGGGAAGTGGATGCGAGGGTACGGCACCAGGTTGGTCTCAAACTCGTTGAGATCGACGTTGAGCGCGCCGTCGAAGCGCAGCGAGGCGGTGATGGAGGAGATGATCTGACCGATCAACCGGTTCAGGTTGGTGTACGTCGGACGCGCGATGTCCAGGTTTTTCTGGCACAGCTGGTAGATGGCCTCGTTGTCCATCATGAACTCTACGTCTGCGTGCTCCAGTGTGGTGTGAGCGAACAGGATGGCGTTATAAGGTTCTACCACAGCCGTGGCCACCTGCGGCGCCGGGTAGATGGAGAAGCACAGCTTCGCCTTCTTGCCGTAGTCCAGTGAAAGCTTCTCCATCACCAGGGAGGTGAAGCCAGAGCCAGTGCCGCCACCGAACGAATGAAAGATGAGGAAACCCTGAAATCCGGAACACTGGTCGGCCATCTTACGAATTGAATCCTCCGTCTGATCAATGAGCTCCTTGCCGATGGTGTAGTGGCCGCGTGCGTAGTTGTTGGCAGCATCCTCCTTCCCGCTTTTCAGGTTCTCCGGGTGGAACAGCTGCCGGTAGGTGCCCGTGCGCACCTCGTCCACCACCGTCGGCTCCAGGTCCACGAACACGGCGCGCGGCACGTGCTTGCCGGCGCCCGTCTCGGAGAAGAACGTGTTGAAACTGTCGTCGGCGACGCCAACGCTGGTGTCTGAGGGCATCTGGCCGTCGGGCTGGATGCCGTGCTCGAGGCAGTAGAGCTCCCAGCAGGCGTTGCCCATCTGGATGCCAGCCTGGCCGATATGCACGCTGATGACCTCACGCATGATGCCGAAGTGGGAGACAGAGACTTATAAACTGACGTGCGGCGTCCGAAGTACCCTCAGGCGGACAAGGCACGGGACCCGGTCGAGCTACGGAAGCGCGGGTCCTCCTGCCACGGTGCCCGGTGAGGCTAGTGCGGCGGCCCGCGGATGCCTCCGGGGCCGAGCGGTCGGTACGGTCGCTGACACGGGATCGGCATGTAACGACCCACGGCGGGACGCTCAAATGCGCCGAATAACGTGGACGCACCGTGTGTTTGGGGGCGTTGCTAAGATATGGGGGCCGCTATGCAATCGAAGAATTGATTGCAGCCGGCAAGGATAAGGGGCCGCGCGACCAAACATTGTCGTTACTGAAAAGTGACGTAATACCTGATGGCGTTCCTGGTATGGCTAATAAACACAATGCAGCAGGAGCTCGAGGGCGCTCCGGTGGTGTGCGCACACAATAATTACCACCGTAACAGCGCCTCACCACTCCGTGTGTATTGGACCCACCGTGTTTATCGTTCGACCAGGGAAGCATGAAATGCTAAGTAACTGGGCAGCAACATTTATTGGATACATATAAATGTTAGTGAAGGTATAGTTGCATAAGAAAATCTTCGCTCTGGTTTGGTACTTTTCCACGTGAATCCTGAATGGTTGCTTTTCAATTAGCTTTCAGGGAATCCGTTTGCGCAACGACTATCCGAGCCAATTTGAAATGCGTGTGAGCTTTACTTTGGGGGAGGGGAGGGTGAACAAACACGTCAGCAGATTATCCTCGTAATGCACCGTATTATATCAAAGGCATAACTGGCTTTATCGAAGAAAGGAATGCATACCACGCAGTGAGAGGAGCCCTGTACAATATTGCGGCGAACGACGCCTGGTGAGCCGCTTAGGAGCAATCGAGCCCAGCATTATGACACCACTGGGTGCATTTATTAGACAAAATACAACTGACTGCTTGGCAGCCACAAAAGCTAAGGTCCCGGTGGTATACGCATAAATAGCGACGTTTATAACGTACCTTGCATCAATAATAAGGAAGGAACGCTGTTCCACATTGTACTGAATGTCTTTATGTTTTTATTTCTACTTTATTTACTTCTTCCTTTTTTCTTTATTCTTTTCTGACAATATTGTCATTCAATAAACATTTATAGTTCATTCAGAAAAGTTGTTTTAGCTTACGCCGGTCGTCAATACGAGTACATACCTATCACCAAACTTCGAACTGTCTTGTCTTACATTCCTGACGAATCCTGTCATAGCTCGTAAATAAGAGCTCATTTTACATGTGACATTTATCTCTCTGTTAGGTTGCACTGGATATTATATACATCGAATGTTATACGGCTTTCTTGTATCTCCTTTTTATGAACAACGGATTCAAAGAAGCAAATGAACATTTGCTTCTTTGGTCGGCCCCGTAGCTCAGTTGGTAGAGCGTTGGACTCCGCGGAGTGAGAGCACGCGCTCCCGGTTCGAAGTCCGGGTTCGAAGCGCGACGGGAGCTTGACATTTATGGGCCTCCTGACAGGTATGGTTGCGGTTCGTGGCAGGCGTAGCCAGGCGAAGTCAGTGAGGGGACCGGCCGTGCGCGGCTATGTGCGCACGTTAACCCGCGCCCCGCTGGGCTATTCAGGCATATGCGCCCTGCTGGGGGGGGGGGGGGGGGGGCAGATTCTGCCGCCCCCCGCTGTCTAACTTCCGAACCGATGGTCGTAGAAAGACGGGGAAAACGGCAATCCAAAGCTCTCAACGAGGCGAATCTTAAGAGCTCATTTTTTTTGTTTAAGTAGGTCAGAGGTCAGGTCAAGGTCAGGTCAAGGGTACAAAATGCAAGTTTCTACAGTATCGGCCTTGCACCGTAATTGCCGAAGAATGGACTGAGACTGATTGCCCAAAACGTGTTCTTAGGCTACCAAGACAATATTCGTTGCATACAATATCATTCAAAGATCAAGGTCAAGGTCAGGTCAGGTCAGGTCAGGTCACCAAAAACAAAATATAGAAAAGGGCATGTGCGACACATGTTTTATGGGTCACTTTATTCATATAATTCAATAGGCACACTCAATTAGTGATATGGACCACCTCTGGATGAATTTCAGGTCGAGGTCAGGTCAAGGTCAGGTCAAGTAAGGTCAAATTTTGAAGTTGGTTGTTAAGGCCTAAAAAGGTGTCTATCTGATGCAGTTTTTCACGGCGAGTCGAATGGTGCTATTTTTGTTTCCGTACGAGGTCTAGAACTTCCAAAAAATTCATTTTTCAAAAATTTTGCGTGTCGTGACATCATTAAAGTTTGAATAACTCCCACATTTATGAACCGATTCTTCTCAAAATTGGTATGTAGGTGCACATAGACCACTTCTCTGACACATATTCCGGTTTTTTCGATAGACTCAAAATTTTGGATTTTATAATTATTTTCCCAAAAAAGTTGGTTAAAAAAAGGGCCAAAATCCAAAATTTTCAAAAAACCGAGATAGCCATTTCATAGACAAAGTAGAATCACGTATAACCTTTTTTGTTACGTCTTGATTCCTTTAAAAATTAAGATGTTAGCGGCGTTTGAAATTTTGCGATTTTTGAGGCGAAAATGGCGAACATGACGTCACTAAAACGTCATTTTCTCAAAAATTTTCCGACGGATTTCGCTCAAATTTTCAGGGAAAGTGTCAAATTGATGTATAATAAGGTACTGAAAGTTTGACGTCACTCGCGTAACGCGTTTAGAAGTTATTGGCGAAAAACGGGAGGGGGCAGATTCTGCCCCCCCCCCCCAGCGGGGCGCGGGCTAAACTTTGGACTCTAAATTCTGCCATAGAACCGGAATTGCGCGATCGGAGGGTAGAGGGCAGGGTCACCGCAACAAGCTTCGCTTAGCGGTGGCGCTGTCCTTGTGAATCCTTCCTATCAAAAGGTTCGGACTAAATTTATGAAAAAAACATTACTACCTACATTGCCACACATTCATGCATAAAACACACTCACATATGTACGTCTCGTACATTGCAGCCTAGCCTTCTGTTTGGTTGTGCGGAAATCTTCCACGCATGAATTCTCCCACGCAATGAGGCGAGTGCAACACGTTACGCAGCACTGCGCTATCGAGCATCGCCTGCAATTCTCTTGACACGACACTCTGACACTGCAGCTCGACTAGAGTGTCGCCATCTGCTCCCTCACACGGCCGAGGTCGGCGCGCCCTCTGTAGAGAACGCACGGCTGATGTCCGCAGCGCTTCGCATCGGCTCAGGGCCCAGGGGCAGCGGCTTCGACGCCTGTTCTGTTCCGGA